AACGATTCCTTATCATTTAATTTGAATGATTTTTTTATCATTCAAGCCAAACGATTTCTAATCGTTCTTCTTAGAACAATTTTTTTATCATTCAAGTCAAACGATTTCTTATCATTCTTCTTGAATGATTTTTTTATTATTCAAGTCGAACGATTTCTTATCATTCTTTTTAGAATGATTTTTTTATCATTCAAGTCAACTCGAGTCAACTCAAATCAAGTTGAGTTTAAATCAAGTCGAATTAAATATTTAACTCGACTTGAATTTGGCTTGACTTGCAAATTATCGAGTTAAAAAAATATAAACTCAACTTGATTTGAACTCGACTCAGCTTATCTGACTCATGAGTTAACTCAACTCATCCAGAACTCTATCAGTTATTATGTATTACACTTGCATTATCATATAAATGTTCATTTAAAATTTGGCAGTATAAATAATAATCCAAATTTTCAGTAAACATGTGTATGCTAATTTTTTCCTTAACGCTGATTGCATCCTAAATATGAACTTTAAATGGGTGTTTTACCATCAGAGTAATAGGATTTTGTCACGTGACTATGTTGAAAGGGTATTACAGAACATTTTAAGTATAGTTTTATTATAAAAATATCATTTTTTCAATTATAATTCACGTGATTACAGGCTTAAGACAACCAGTTCTCTTTTGCTTTCTATGTTAAAAGAGGAACTTTTCTAGAACGAACAGATACAAATCCAAGATTTTTTAGCTCATGGGGAATGGTCTATTTACTAACTTCAAGCTCTGGTGTTTTTTCTTTAAGTTGAGCTTTCATTTCACTTTCTGTAGTGAAATGATTATGCTTAACGATCATTCCAATTTGGCGGCATATTTTAGGAGTCAATTTTTGTGGTTGACCAGACTGATAACCTATAGTAATCTTACCAATTTTCTTTAATGAACTAACATAATGATAATAGGAGCTAAGAGAACACCTGTTCTTTGTGAAATTTTTCTTGCATTTTGGATTTTTCGCTGCCAAAGAAGGTTAACAGCATTTCAGTTTCTTTCAAGAGTGGTTAATACCATTTTAAATGAAAAACATGAAAGAAATTCATTTTTTTCTACAACTTTTTTTTGTTTGTTTATTAAATATTATTTATAAAGAACACTCTAGAAATACTGGAAAATTCTAGAGTGAAAAATGAACATGCTACGACTCAAAAAACAAGCAGCACTTGTAGTGCCATTACTTTCGTCGGTGACTGTATCTTTCAGAATTTAATAAAAAAAATAAATAAGTTCGTTTTTATTTGAAAATTTAAATTAAAAAATTTAAAAAAATAAAAAAAAATATATATATATATACTGTATATATAAAATAAAATGATATATTTTCAAATATTCTATATAATTTCGAATATTTGAATATTCGAATATTCTATTTTCATTAATGATCGTTTTGCATATGATTTTAATTATATTGGATAAAAAAATGTGTCGTCACGTGATAAAATGCTTACAAAACTTTTAATAAAAATTTATTAGTCCAAATGTGCTTACTGGTAAAGTGTTAACGTCAAACCTACTTTCAAATTTGGATAGGGGAACATTGAGTGAATATGAAAAAGATTATTTTTCGATCCAATCTTATTTTAAAGCAATAGATTGAAGATAATTAGTTAAAATACTTGGTTTGGACCCTTTGGATCGTAAGACCAGCTAATGGTTGGGATAGAATTTAGGTCGATGTATGCAAAAGAGAAATAATGTCGGTTATAACAAATGGTTTGTCAAAGTTTTAATTGTATTTTTTTTTACATAGAAAAAAAAAATATTTCGTTTTAATAATTTGTATTCAGGTTATACATAACATATACATGGTTGATTGAAAAGTAAAATACGATCTTTTCTACACTTAAAACTCAAATGTGAAGGGTTAATCACCGCAGGTAACTTTTCCTGAACCGTGAAAGTGTTAAATTCTCGGCAACATCTATAAGATGAAACAAGATTGATACCGTATGTGCAAAAAACAAAGATGCGAAGCAACGTATCCCGGAATTTCTCAACCCACTAATATTGGCAAATTTCGTGCCGCACAGACAGATTTATTTTTTTGATTCTTAATAAAGTAAATATAAATTAATTAATCAACATTGATTTATTTTTCTTAAATATTTTTTTGAGAATATTATCAAACCTAAAATTGTATGTTCCCATTCATTATTATTAATAATTGGATTTACAATTAATTTAGCTGAACGACTTGAGAAATGGCAATCTTGATAAAATAACAAAATTGAAACGCCCAAATGTTATACTTAAGATCGTATCAGGCGTCAAAACTTTGTTGTGAGAGATGGTAATTCACACATGTATTCGCACTATATATTAACCCTTAACCTTAACCTTACAACCCTACTCACTTACCTTTAACCCCCCTTTTTTAATCACTAATTCCTGATAAGACTAATTCTCTGTATTTTCTGGAATGCAAATCTTTTAAAATTAACTGTGACTAAAGTTTCGTTATGGAAATTCAGTTCATTAAACATTAGAAACGACGAGGAACTTATATTACAAATATTTAAACTTAAGTTAATTACAAATTTTTGTGTTTGTTTATGATCGTATGGATTCGTGCATGAATCAATATAGTCTTTGTATATAGATATATATTTTTTTTGTAATTGTTCCAATTAGAAATCGCATGGAATACTGCACTAATAAATTAACGTTTGTTTTTTTTATATTGTCATCAACTGTAATCTTCAAGATATCATATTTTATTTAACTTTTGGTTAAAATGATCCTACACCGAAAAATCTGTAATTGATAATGAGTCGACAAATCAATATGTCGCATTCTGCATTGTTGATAATAATACTTTAGGACAGAAACCCGAAGAAAAGATTATATTCAAAAAAGAATTTTCCTCAAGAAAAAAAAAGAAGTTCACTTTGGTAAAATAACCCTCATGACAAATGTACGTTTGTACAAGATTTCTTCATTTTAATCGTGCGACGTAAAAAAACGAAAAAAGTTATTTGTTACAAAAATTTATGCAATTCATTTCAAGTGCGCATTTTTAAAGGGTTTATATTATATATATATTTGTCGAAATCTTATGATACGTTGACTCGGTGTGATTTAACTAGCGCAAAATGTACTTCAATGTGTTCAAAGTGTATTATTAGAAATTTTGTGTAAAAAAAAAAAAAAAATTTGTAGACGTACGATAAGTATAAATATGCGAGGGTTCGCTTTAGAAAAAAATCCTTTTTTTTTTTCACTTTTTTTTGTTCGTACTTTATTTTCTCACTGTTTTCACTGTCTTGACCAAAGGTTCATGCTAAAACCGGTCTTTTAGCGCGGTAGAAAATTTATACATTCCTTCCTTTCATCAAACCACCCACATATTTATTATCTTTCGTTACATCTCCTTTTGTTTTGTTTTTTTTTTTTGTTTTTTAGAAAAAACTATTTTTTAAGAAAAAAACATTTGCCATCATTATGCGTCGGTTAAATATCAATAACAACTATAGCATTAATAGGGAAAGCATTGTGGATTTACCAGATATTCATCATTCTCTCATAGTCATACCAGAATCACTCTATGACAACTCTGAATTAACTTCAACTGATTCCGCAACTTCTTATTATAATAATAAATCAACACCTAATTCTTCCATACATGATATTGCTGAAGAAAAAAATGATGAAGTAGTAGAGGAGGAAAAGGTTGAAATAAGTGAACAAAATTTAGATGAACCTAAAGAAAGAGAGATAAATATTGATAAAGAAAAATCAAAAAATTTCACAGATATTGATCTATCCGAAACTAATCCTGAAAAAACGTAAGTGCCTTTAAAAAAGGGGGGGAATTCACCTTACAAATGACACGCACTCACCATTTTTTTTTTTTTTTTATGATTAGGAATTCTTCCACCTTGGAGAGGCCATCAATTACAAATGATACATCTTCAATTCCGGTTATAACGCCCCGTTCAAATGTCGAAGATGTCGAAAAATCTATTAAAAGGAAGGATGAACGTTCGTCATGTTCCCTTTTAAATAAACTTGATAGAAAAAATAAAATATTCATAATTTTATTAATAATAATTATCATAATAATCATAGTTACCGTTATCTTATTTAAGTAGTTGAATATTCAAATTTTCAGTGTATATAATATTAATTAATTTAATTGTCCTTGAATGACTTAAAATTTCCATAAAAATAAAATTTTGATTTTTGAATAACACACAAAAGAACGCTTTGATAAATTTTTGCGTGACGTCGCAACAAAAAACAAAAAAATTTTTTGATTGGTAATTCCAAAAAAGTATTCCACCGCAAAAAAAAAAAACATAAATGTAAATAAATATGTAAAGTGGAATCTCCACTTGAATTTTTGCATTTCGATAAAATTTCTAATTTTATTACTTATTCTGTATACATTAATTCTATTTAGTGATTCGGGCGAAACTAATTTTAAAAATCCGAAATACGAACATTTCATTTTCGCCTCATAATTTCGGAATCCAAATTTTGAACTTTCTAACAGCATTATATGGAAAAAAATTTTTCTCAAAAATCAAAATTCCTTTTACAGAATTACATTTCTCATTTCTCTTCCATGTTTGTCCCACATGACACAAATTAATTGGTTCTGCATGATTGATTTACTACGCCTTTCGTCGTCCACTCTCCCTTTTCATGAAAATGAAGGCAACGTTCACAACAAAACTTCCAAAAAATCGTATTACAACTAAAAAAAACCGTTCAAAATCTCATATATTCTCATCAAAGTATTTAACAACATTTCGAAATACATTCTATCAAGTGTTATGTGATCATGACCCAAATTTAATTTTAGAAGAAAAGCAAGAATTTTTAGAATATTTAATTGAAAAGATTTGGGAATTAAATTTGTTACAACAATTCATCCCTTCAGCTCAAGTTAAAGATGACGAATATTTTACTTTACTAAACGAACAACAAGTTATTAATAAATTTACCGAAATGATTGAAAATGACTTTATTACTTTTGAATTTTGTAAGGATGATCATGAATGTTTAGAAATTTCGACTTCAATCTTGTCAAAATGGAAATCCTCTATAAATCCAAATTCATCAATTTCTTTTGTAGGCAATAACAATGAATCTACGGATGAGGAGGAGGAGGAGGGGGAGGAGGAAGAAGAAGAAATTGCTCACGAGCCAGGTACATGTTTAATGTGTCATCGTCACATGCCTTTGACATTTCATCATTTAGTTCCAAAAATGATGCATAAACGTGTTATTAAAAAAAAGTTGTATACAAAAGATCAATGTAATGCGAGAGGTATATATATTTGTAGACCTTGTCATTCTGCTTGCCATAAAATGATTTCTCATGAACAAATGGCTTATGAGTATAACACTTTAGACAAACTATTAGAGCATGAAGAAGTATCTAAATTTGTTAATTGGGCTTCCAAGCAAAGAAGTTATGCCAAAGATCATGTTATTCAGAAACTAAGATATTCAAAGTAGTAAAATGATTTTGGTTTATTTAATACATAATTTTATATTAATATTTATATCTATATTATTTAAAATTGAACTTTGATAAATATGATAATTATTATTACAAATGAATTGGTTATAAATTCATGAATTAATGGATACAAATGATATTGTACAAATCAACTATTACCTCTCATTTCTATATTTAATTTCTTTCAATTCAATTAAATTATTATATTATTCAAACTATAACCTCTTCTTCCAATAAATCTGACCTTATCCTTCTACTACATTCAACCACTTCCCACTCCCAATTAGTTGTTATTACGACAGCAAATATACTACATCCCATAAGAATTGATGCCAAAGTAACACCAGACCATAGTCCGATCAATCCAAGATTAAATTTAAATGCTAATAAAAGTCCAATTGGTAATGCAAATATATAATATGCCGATAAATAAATGATTGATATAATCTTCTGCTTTCCTTTTAAACAAAAAAAAAAAAATTTTTTTGATTAGAAAAATATTTATCTCGATTTTTTTTTTTTTTTAAAAAAAAAAAAAAAGCCTTGAAAAAAAACCTAGTCCTCTTAGTATTCCTCCGCCTATGGCACCGATTCCATCTGATAGCTTTATTATTCAAAACAAAAAAGTAAAAAACAAAATTTTATTTATATCTTGTTGTTAATCAATTGTAGTCATCAATCAATCAATCAATCAATCAATCAATACATACCTGAAATAGGACACATAATGGCAAAACCGAAGCTGTTAACTTTACAACTTCTTCATCGTTTGTAAATAAGTACCTTATTAAAAAAAATTATTATTATTAATTGATATAAAAGAAGATAGTAAGTAATAATGCAACACCAATGTCACCTTATGACGATCGATATAAAGATATCCCCTTCTTAAACATTTACCCCCATGAATCCCTGAACATAAATATTCCCATCGAGGTGCATATAGCACTCATGAGCGCGAGAATCAAAGAAGTTTCGGCAGTAATTTTGGCTTTCTTAGCGAGACCTGCTCCCAGGAAATTACCAACTCTATTTGAGGTTGCCAATGATATACTTCTTGGTAATTGAAAGAACAAAAGTGCAATGGTAAGAACTAAACGATGAGCTGCTAATGGTACGTTTCCGATATATCCTGATGCAAGAGCGATCAGTTCATAAATCCACCAATCCGCGCAAGATGTTAAAATTCCAGGAATTGCTAATCTCATGAAAGATGACCAGTCATAAAGGCATGCACGAGTCCAACCGCCCCAAGCTTGATGTCCGTCAATATATTTAATGTAAAGGATACTAAGGATAAGCATCAGCCAATTAGAAATATTTGTCGCTATGGGTGCACCGATAAACCCAAGAGCTATTTTATCCCACCAAATAAGAGCGTAATTTAAAAGAATGTTTAATGGGCTAACAATTATAAGAACAAAAGATGTGGCTTGCATGATGCCTTTTTTTTCGAGAGAGTAAGAATTAGTGTTGTGATGAATTGCTAATGTGGTGAATAAGGATCAATTTAATGATTCAAACCTTGGGCTTGTAAAAATTTTTCAACGCACCAAAAGATGAAAATGGGTGGAGCACCCAAAATTGACCAACGCAAGTACACTTGCGCATATGCGGACAATTCTTCATTTTGACCTAAATAAACCAGTATTGCTCCGGATTCCCACCAGACCAAACTAATTGGGATAAACCCAAGAAGAATAATAATGATAGCGCGTTGTAAATACACGCCAACCATTTTTGGGTTCCCAGAAGTGTAGCCCTGTGGACATAAGGTGTCTAAAGCAGTGGTTGCACCATAAAATATGGATATACCAGATACTGAAGCGTACTGAAAAAAAAAAAGCAAATCAGTTCCTAATCTATTAAATATGTACAAACAAACAGAAAATCCAAATTACTAAAAAAAAAAAAAAAAATTTCTTACCATAGAGCCTAACGCCAAAGCAGCCAACTCTACAGGTCCCTAATAAGTAAATATTTGATAAATTATAAGATAGATTGATTATAAAACTCGAACACAAAAATCATCGATCGATATCTGACCCAAAAAAACTTACAATGTGACCCAACGTAAGTACACTAATAATTGTAAAAGTGTACTGTAAAAACGTAGCCAACCAAATTGGAAAAGATTTTTGAAGAATATAAAATGCTTCGTTTAGGTTAAATGGAAGTCTAGGTTCATTTAACGAGACATGAGAAGCAATAACATTATCAATGTTGGGTAACAATGCCGTCGTTTCATTTGGAATATGAGCAAGACCCTGCGTTTGTTCGTTTGAGGTTGTCAACGACGACATATTATTTGTTGTTGTATACAATGCGACAAACTAAGTCTTATTGTCTGTCGAGTAAAGCGCAAGTCTTGCTCGTTCTGGTAGGAACCAACATTTAAAGAAACAATTATTCCGATCGACCACATTATAAGGATTGCATAATACAACCATCATTTTATTATATAAAAGTTACATAACTTACACAACTTACACAATCATTGAATGACATCACAATTTATAATCACATGAATAAGCATCATGACCAAATTTGAGTTGATTTTGTTCTAATTTGTTTCACATGAAATCCAAGATGGGAAAAGGCTGAGTTATGTCCATCTTGGGGGGGTTTTTTTTTTTATAATGTTTATAATGTTTGCAGAAAAAGTGTCAAAATATTTTGCTTGGTTTTAACCTGTTTTCATTCCGCAGCATTAAAAACAATTAAGCCAATTTCAATTTTTTTTTGGAAGGAAAAAAAAAAAAAAAAAAAAATACTTTTTTCTGAGTTTGTTCCGACTTCAAACACATCATTGTCGATAGCGGAAAATATCTATATTTCATTATTATCATCAGACCATTTTTTTTTTTTAATCGGATGTTCATTATTGAACATTGATCAATTTTTTTTTTTTTCAATTTTTTTTCACATCTATAATAGTTTTCCATTGTATTCATTTCAAAACTCAAATCCAAGGAAGATAAAAAACGTTTTCACTTTTTTGAACGGGAATTTCTTATTAGCTTCAACTATAAAGAGAATAGTTTTTCAAACAGTTTTATTGAAGTCGAGTTTGCACGTGGTACGTACCTTTTTTTATTATTATTATTTTTTTTTTTTTTTTTAATGTAAAAAAATTTTTCCGATAATTTAATACTATCCTTTTTGCTGGCCGCTTGTGTTATAAGCCCATCGAATACGTCATCCGTAATGACCGATCAACATTTCAAAGGAACGGTCGATAAGAATATAAATAATTGTCAACTTACTTCTGTAATTCGTAGAGAATCAAGAGAAGTACCTTTCTCTCCTTTTTTACCACCTGAAACTTTAGGTGAAATTTTTTCATATGTTGGAGATGATATAAAATCATTACATTCATGTCTTCTTGTTAATAAAATGTGGTGTGAGAGTGCTGCCCTGATTTTATGGAGGCAGCCATTTGATATTTCTTCAATAATGGCATCTGCCGACCTTGTCGACGTGTATTTCTTGTTTTTTTCAGATGATATTAAAAACTTTTTGTTAACATCAGTTCCAAATGGATTATCACATTTACTTTCTAATAGACCATCTTTGAATTATTTATCCTATTTAAGATATGTAGATTTCAAGAAGGTTTATAAGGCTGTTAGGATGTGGTTGAGGTGTAAAACTTTATTCGAACCTTTAAGTTTAGAATTCAAAAAGAAACAGATAGCTTTAGCAAATAGAATAGTTACCGAATTGGGGAAAATCTTTACAACGGGATATGCGAGGTTAGATCGACTATCACTTTGCGTTGACAGTAAATATTTCGAGTATAATCCCATAGATAGTGAAGAGGATTGTTTATCTTGGCCATGTTATCCTGGAGCTTGCAGCGCATTGTCAGAGCTTCGAGAGTTCTTATGTGGGGGACAATTCGTAAAGGACAAAATCTTACATACGATGGCTGGAATATGTAAAGACATTGAAGTACTTACCATTCACGAATCCGCTGATACATCACCTAAAATGTTGGCAGAATTTATCAACGCTCAAAGAAGGTTATTAAAATTTACACTTACAAGTTGGTCGGGGGAGACTCTCGAGATTTTATCTTCCTTAAGAAGGCAAGCAAGAACTTTAAGACACATGGAACTGATTAGGTGTACATTTCCTAAAAATGAAGATTATACAAAATTATTTTGTGGTTTAGCGGAATGTCGTAATTTACAAACATTAAAACTTTCACAATGTCAAAATTTAAGTACGAAAATCATGAAACCATTAGCGAAAGCGAGTTTTGAACAATTACAAACCTTTATAATTGATAATGAAGCAGTTCCAGATCCTCCAACCTTAGAAATTAAGAATATTATTCAAAATTCCAAAGATTCGCTTATAGAAATAGGGTTATGTGTGAATTTGTCATTATACGTTGATATCATGGAAACCATTGGATCATGTTGTCCAAATTTACTTAAATTAAGTGTTACAATCGAAAGAGATTTTGAAATACAACAATTAATCACATTATTTAAATCTTGCACAAAGCTTGTTGAATTAAGAATACCAAGAAAATGGAAATTGTTTGAAGTAAAGAGATCTTTAATTGAATTGGGAAATGTTTTACCATTTACATTACAAAGCTTAGAATTAGACGGGTTAAGATTCAGTCATGAGACATGGGAAGAATTTTTGAAAATATGTCCCAAATCTATAGATCATTTTACATTCAATTGTTTTAATAAGTCAATATTTGTTAGTATTTTACAGAAATATGGAGAGGAATGTGGTAAATGCGTGAAAAATGAGGAAGTACTTGGTCAATTTTATTTACCAATGCAAGTATCTGTAGAGTTGCGTTGATGAAGTGATGAAGGTTAGTTATTAATTGAACGTATGAATAAATAATTTAATTCATCAACTAATATTAAAAATTTTATTGATTCTTAGATTTGCAAAAAAAAAAAAAAAAAAAAAAAAATTATTTAAAAAAAAAATTCCATTTATTTAACACTTTTTTTAATTATTATAGACTTCCTTTTTTTTTTTTTTAAAAAAAAAAATTACATTTACAAAATTTAAAAATTAAGTTTCCTTATACAAAATATAAAAACGAATAACGTTTAGATTCATTCTTTTTAATGTTTAAACAAAAAAAAAAATTGTACACGATGATGTATTTTATTTTAACAAAATTAATTTTTGGAATTCCTTTGTCAATTTTTTTTTTTATTTATTTTTTATTATTATTAATAGCATATATATAGTATTTATTAAAATAAAAGGTTATAGAGTTGATAAACAAAGATCTTCAAATACGGGATCTGATTCTCGATATTCCGCGATCGAAAAGTTTAAATTCGATCCCTTTTCTCAGCACTCCAGTATGTACATAACTTTCTTGTTAATTCATAATTTCAAAAATCACTTCTTGACTAAATGAATTATTTTTATCATGCAATAGAATAAAAAGCGTTAATAAAAATAGCCTTACGAAAAAAGGAATGTTCAGAAAATCACTTTTTGAGCGTTTTACTGGACGCGTTATAAGATTGTGAATTTTTTTTTTTTACTTCAAAACGACCAAATATGGTTTCTTTCATTTGCTACTAATTCAACTTGTTGGACAAAAAGTATATTTCAAAAGGTCTTATTTCTTTTCTATATAATTTTTTCTGATTAGGCAACCTTTATTTAGTCAATTTAATTGAAAGTGATTCTTTCTTAGTTTTTTAGTTTATGTTAACGTATGTCCATTATCAAACCTCTAATGAGGAATGTAAAAACGACCGATTTAAGTGCATCATCCTTGGAGATACCTTTTTTTTTTTCCAGATTTAACATTAACTCCAAAATTTTTTTTTTTGAAGTTTCCTCCCTTTCTACTCATATGATAAGTTAAAAATTTACATAAGAAATGGTAATTATTAATGTAATTAAGGAAAAAATATTAAAATTTAAAATTACATTTGATTTCGTTATGCTTATTATTTTCTGGTTTTTATATCATCTCAAAGAACCTAAACTTCGTGTTTACAACATAAATTATTGAACACAGTTCCAAGTGCTCATATTTGTATCTCCCATCACGAAATGGCCTGCATCACGGCATTAATTATGGCGCACACGTGACGTAAAATTTCCAAGTTGTCAGAATACGGTGACTAGGGTTGGGAAGTCCTAATTGATCCTTGAATAATTTTAAAATTATTAAAAATATTAGATTAGGACATAAGTCCTAAGATCAGGTCCTGAAATTAAATAAATTTCTAATTTTTACTGTAAAGAATCTAATTAATAATAATATATAAATAAAATTTCTTTTTAAATCTTTTAAGACAATTAAGACCTATTAGGACTTTACCAACCCTAGTCTTTGACAAACACGTTATTGTTGAATCACCTGTCTATATTGGTGCATCAAATCTTTGAAAAGGAATTCGATACTTGGCAAAATCTTTGGTTTAATACATATTCTTTAACCGCTATAGATATTAAAAACGGAATCTTTAAAAAATTTGCGTTGCAAATGGTTGTGGAAAAGCAGGTTACAGAAACATGAAGCCACTTTTAAATTTTAATGTGTTCATTCTCAAGATCGTCTATTTATCAGCGCGTTTTGCCATATTCTCGAGTAAAGATTTAATGATAAATAAATAAATAAATAAATACAGTGTTACAAAACGCGATTCGTTTTTTTTGAAAATTAATAAATCAAAATTTTTTTTTTTTTTTCAGTTAAAATATTTCATATAAATGATAATGTTTTATAAATAAAGATTTAAAATTTTGGTCTATCCATAAGATGTTCGGGATCTTTTCCATATTTCGCAATATATTTATCATGTTCACGAATTTTGTGTTTATATAATGAAATCAATTCATGTGCTCTGATTGATAATATTGGATGAAACTTGGATGCATCATGAATAGCTGCTATCGCAACATCAAATCTGCTGGCTCCGTTAGTAGTTAACATCTAAATCAAAAGAAACGTTAGGAGAAAAAAGGTTCAGTCAAGACAAGGTCATTCATAGATACTTACTCTGAAAGGAGTTGTAGTAGTGCCTTCTTCTTGATACCCCAACTGTAAATAAAAAGAAAATCATTAATGAAATTGAAACAAAAATTGAACAAATTGAAACAAATTTATGCCTACATACCACTTTTACGCGTTGTGGATTAGGTCGGTCAAATAAAAATGCTTTAATCACACTTGGGTATCCATGAAAATTAAATATAACTGGCTTGTCCTTGGTAAATAAACTATCAAAAGCGTCATTATCCAGGGAATGTGGATGGGTTCCATATCCTGGTAAAATCATTAAATCTGTCACGTTGACAACTCGAACACGTAATTCTGGGGCATCTTGTTTTAATAAACTTGCGGCTGCAATAACTTCAAATGTGACTTCTGCACCACATCCAACCAATACTACATCAGGATCAATGCCATCTTCTGTTGAAGCAAATTTCCAAACTGACGCTCCTGCTATGCAATGCCTTTCTGCCTCTTCAGGTGAAAGCCAAACCGGTGTTGGATTCTTACTTCCAATCATCAAATTAATATAATTTTCGGCTCTTAAACAGTGAGCTATTGTACTTAGGAAACAATTTGCATCTGCCGGCAAATAAATTCGAACATATGCATCTATTCCCCCCCAAAAAATTTTGTATTAGAAATTTTCAAACTTGAATAAATTGTGAAAATTAAAGATAATTAATTACATTTCATATTGATAAGGTTGTTGAGAAATGATGGATTTTGGTGAGAAAATCCGTTGTGCTCTTGTCGCCAAAGGGTTGAAGTTTCAATATAATTCAAAGATCCGATTGGTAGTCGCCAAGCAGTCTCCATACCGATCTTAATGAATTTTGCATATTGAATCATCATTGTAGTTATAATTCCCAAAAATGTTTCATAAGATGGAAACAATCCGACGCGTCCTATAAAAAGGATTAGCTAAATCTTGTAATATAAAAATATAGCAGCAATTAATAAAAATCCCAAACCCGTTAAAGTGTATCCTTGCATCCATCCTTGACATGTATGCTCGGACAGAATTTCAGTTACACGACCTCCTTTATTGCTGGTCTGAGAAGACCATTGAAAGTCTCGATTGGTGACTTGGAATACGGCATCCAATTTATTTGAAACGAGTTCTGCACATTACAAATGACGTGTTACGAAATATAATAAATTTTTAAAAAAAAAAAAATAAATAAATAAATAAAAAAAGATATATTTATAAATACCGTCTGGCGAAAAAATTCTGAACCTCTTTGGATTCCTTTACAAAGGTGAGAGTTCATTAAATATATATTAAACTAAGGAAAATGTGGCAAAAACGAACCGACAAACTTACATTTCAATGACTTTAGAACAATAGGAACCAACAGATTTCATGCAACTTTCATTAGAATCTTTTTCCACCGTGAATGCTTTCCAATCCGGTAAATCTAAAGGTTTATACGCGGCATACGTTTCTTTCCTAATACCCATACGCAACTCTTCTTTTGGCAAAGCTTCAAGTACTTCTTTTTTAAATAAACCCTCAGATAAATCAATTAATTCATGAAATTTATAACTCCTTAACCAGGATTCCAATAAATGAAATTCTTCATCATCAGCTCTTACGCGGGGTAAAGGTACTTGATGAGATTTGAATGAACCTTCAATAGGTGTACCATGTAACTCTTTAGGACCCGTCCAACCTTTTGGAGTTCGAAGAACTATCATTGGCCATCTTGGTTTGAAAATTGGATTACCAGTTCTGGCACAGTTTTGAATCCTTCGAATTTCACGATATGCCCATTCCATCGAAACAGCCATTTCCGCATTGATATCGTCCAAGTTTGACACAATGCGAACTTGGTATCCGAACCCACTAAATACGTTCGTAAGAAAAAAAATTTCAATCAGAATTTGTACATCAAACTTTTTTTCCTCAACGATAAATTTATACGTACGTGAATAATGTGGCGATATCGGTATCGCTATCAATTTTTTTTTAAAAAAAAGAAAACATTGTTGGTAACTGAAAGACATATTATATTGTAAAAAACATATATATTTTTTATAATGCACGTACTCCATAACGCCATAAATTGTCTCTTCTGAAATCTTGAATCCATTGTCATGCAAGATTGGAATTACAGCACCACTCTCAGCAGGATCAATATATTTATAAGAATGCCAAGCTGCTGCCGTCGGACCCGTTTCAGCTTCTCCATCGCCAACAATGCACGTGACAATCAGATCGGGGTTATCCATAATTGCACCAAAACTAACCGAAAGAGCGTATCCAAGCTCACCACCTTTGATAATTTTAATTTAAATTAACATTTTTTTTTTTAAAAAAAAAAAAAAGCTTTGCAATGCAAAATTCACCTTCATGAATTTGACCTGGAACTTCGGAATTAACATGACTTGGGAAACCATGTGGCCAACTGAAACTACTAATCAATTTATTTAAACCTTCCTTATCAACACTATATTGGCAGTAAAATTTAGCCAGAGATCCTTCAACAAAAAGATTGGCCAAATTTGCAGGAGCGCCATGTCCTGGACCGGTTACAAGAAACATTGGAATGGAATGTTTCTTGATTAGATGATTACAATGAGCGTAAACAAAATTAATTCCGGGACACGTTCCTAAAAGTTTGATGTAAATTAATTTTTCCCAACGTATCATAAATTTTTAAGTTAAAAAACTCGCGCACCCCAATGACCCAATAATCTCTCTTTAATATCTTCTTTGCTCAAAGGTCTCTCTAGCAAAGTATTGTTTTGCAAAAAGATCATTGAAGCGGCTAAATAATTCGTAGCCCGTTGTAATAATTCTAAAGGACGAAAGTCTTCATTTGACCTAATTTCCGTAGTATCTAATTTTACTAATAAATCCGACACTTTTTCGGGAATCTGCATGATTGAACCCGCAGTTGATTTTGTGACTGACGTTTCTTGAGAAGCATCTTTAGGAGACGGGGCTGGTGGCATATTTTTTTTTTTTTTTTTTTTTTCCTTTCGAGTAAAATGAATTCGATAAATTTACAATAAATACAATTTTTGACGATCGACAGAGGATAGTAATAACATCATTATTATGAAATGGTTATCATTCTAACAAAAATTAGTATAAAACGTTATGTAATGGAACGCCGACCTTTTGGAATTCGTTGGATGGATTTGATTTTCACATTCCTTTTATTATCTTAAATAACCCTCTGAGGAACAGTTTAAGTGGTCACCTTAAGAATTACTCGTTACGACACCATGATGCTATTTTGAAGACGTGTTTATTATATACTGTATATATATGGTATATATTTTATATTTATATTATATATATATGGATTAATTGCTAGGAAAATCAGATTCCGAGAAATTTTTTACTAAAATTAAGAGCTTAATGCATTTTAATCTAATAACATCAATAACTAAAATGCAATAAAAATCTCGATTTTGTTAAAAAAAAAAAAAAATTCCCGGAACCTGATTTTCCTTTTTCCTTGCAATCAACCCAATATTCTGATCCTTAACTTTATCCTAATCAAGAAGAAATTCAAAATACTTTTTCGTTTAAAAATTATTATACATAAAGGGTCTCAAAGGATATACATTTTTATTATTTAACCTTAAAGCTTGAAATCAAATTATAAAACAAATTCATAATTATACATTTTTACATATATATATATATATAAAAAAAAAACGCAACATAGTTGACTTATTAAGAAAATACAATGTGATAAAGTTGAAGATAAATTAAAAAGACTTAAAGATTGTCTTTGAAGCATATGTGTAGAGTAGAGCAATAATAGAGTAATGCAAAGCAAAAGCTAATTGATTCTTAAGATACCGCTATTTTTATGATTATTTGTTTTTTTTAAAAAAAAAATTTGCCTAATAGGGAAGGGATTATTAAAAATATTGACTTTTTTTTTTGTTTTTTTGTTTTTTTTTACAGAAAGAAAGAAAAATTAAAATTCGGACCAAAAAGATGGATAAGAAATCGTATCATCATCATTAAACGACGAGAATCCTTGAGAATCAAACTCAAATTCATTATAAATATAACCGATATTATCACGTTGAATGATAAGCGAATCGATTGAATTGTTCACGTTTTGTTCTCCGATTATTGATTCTTTGTTAAATTCGGTTGATTGTTGGAGGTTAAATTTGTCTCGAGTGTTTGGAGGATTATTTTGGAGGGGATCGTCAGGTACCGAATCGGAATCAAGAAATCGATCGATTATAGGAGAGACAATATCGAAAGGGATGTCAAAGGTAATCTTTGGACTCTCAAATTCAAATGGAGAAACTGGCGAGGTTGGCGAAAGTATTTCAACTTGTTTAATCGAGTTAACCGTCATTTGTTGCTTTTTTTTGATAGTTGACTTTGATTTAACGACAATAGGAGCTTTACAAGTAGAAGAAGTATTCGGAAAAGAAACAATATTCCACTTTTCTCTTTTTCTTCGACGACTTGATTTAGGAATGATCTCATTCCTAATAATATTTGCTTCCTTTGCCAACCTTTTGTACTCTTCTTTCACCACATCTGGTTCCAATTCCCAAGATTGTGAGGCCATTAAAGATACGACAGTCATTGGTAATTGATATCCATCCTTTCTTGCGGTCTCCACGAAAATTTTTCGATATATGATGAAAGCATTCGGGGCACGACCCGAATTATTTTTACTAGGATCTGTGGAAACTTGCTTTGTAATTAATTCTCGCAAATTAATGATTGGAGGGAATTTTGGTTTTATAAACGGATGAGAAATGGTATTCATCATCAATTGATTGCGAACCGTGGGATCACTAGAATCTATAAAGACACAAGCACGTGAATTCTTAAACTTTGATGATGATGATGATGAGGTCATTTTCATAAAATTTGGGAAAAAAGAAAATCTTAATTTGAATTTGTGGAAGAAAAAAAAAAAAAAACTGGTTTTTTTTTTTTTTTTTTTTTTTTTTTTTTTTTTTTATTGTGCTTGGACTTTTTGCTTATAATGGACTGAAGGTAAAAAAAAGAAATAAGAATTTTGCTGGGTATTTATTCAACACTTTTTTTTTTTTCTGACGGTTAAATTTTCAAGGGAAATGGAAATGTTAATTAGAAAAAAAATAAAAAAGGGATCATCAATCATGGTTTTTTTTTCCTCGAAAGAATTTTTTTTATCATATTCGCGTGAAAAAAAATCAACCTTACTATGTATGGAAGGATATTACTTATACAACTGCCCATAAAAGTAGTTTCAGTTTATTTGATTTGTTACCAATTCAAGGAAAAATTGGCGTGATTGTTGAGGAATTCATTTCCACCTATTATTCAAAGATAATTTAAGAATTTTCAATTTGAATTTGCATAAACGAACCAATGACTTCCAATTGTGGTTATTGCTGATTACGTTTCCGTTCAACGATTGGACAAGGCAAAATTTTGATCTTCACGTAGTTCAATGCTTGGGAAAAAAAAAAATATATCGTACCATTTTTTTTTTTTTTCTTTTTTTTCTAAATTAAAAAAAACATGCAAGTTTTGATGCTGAAGATGAGGGCGTACCTCATTGAGAAAATCGATAAAATTGAAAATGTTCTGATCGTGATAAAAATCATTATGTGAAGTCTAGATTTGGAAATGGGCAATGCTAAGATGAAAGGTTTTATATTTATCTTTTTCTTTATTATGAAAATTATGTGTAAACATGTATGGTAACGCTGCACGATGCGCATCCATTTTTCGAAAATAAGGTTTAATTTTTCTATGCAATTGTTTGTTCTAATTAAAACAATCATCTGTCAAATCAATATATGCAAAAGAAAAAGGTCTAGAATCTGGAGGTATTTTTTTTTTTTTTTTTTGTGGTCTGACGTTAGATTACGCTAGTTTTAATATGGATTTCAGGGATTCGAATTAAATTTATTTTATCCAAATCGTCATCATTTTTTTTTTTTTTCAAACCAATCTTTTTTATTAAAATAATAAATAAATAAAATAAATAAAATAAAACATCTAGATAAATATAAAAAAAAAAATCACCACTATAATATATAAAAATCCAATAACCAAAAAAAAAAATAAAACAGCAAGATAATTTTAAAACCCCGACAATAAACCAATCAAATCAACAATTAGGAAAAAAAAAAAAGGAATTCATTCATTCTTTCAAAGGGCAAAGAGATTTTAGTAAAGAACACAAAAGAACACAATTCACATTTTTGGGCATTAAACTGAACAAAGAAAAAGAGGAACTTGGAAATTTAACCTTTTGGATTCAAGAACAAAAAAAAAAGAACTTGATAAAGGACTAAATCAAATCATTAATTCGTTTCTATTTTAAAAGAAGTATATACATTAAAGGAAATTAACAAAGAAATAAAAATAAAATATAAAGAATAAAAATTTTAAATTAAAAAGGGCAAGGAGAGATTAACAAATACGGATATACGAAATATTTTAAAAACGCGACGGAAATTCGGATAACGACCAGGCAAATAATTACGAAACGAATTTATTAACGTTTGAAAGATTAATATTAATCGTAGATACGTTAATGACGAGTTATAACGTAAATGATAAATAAATTGAAAAAAATTTTACGAAATTTTACGATAAAGGGAAGTCGAAATTTAAAATAATAATGGACAACGAAAAATTAAGAAGTAATTAAAGAAAATTAAAGATTACTTTTCTGATACCGAAACTTTTTCACTATAATTAATTTTGCCGATTTAGGTACTAATTTATAAGTTTGCTTTGAAAAAAAAAAAAAATTACAAACCGGTCGTTTCATCATTCCGTATACGTCTTTTTTTTCGTATCATAATTCTGTGTTGAATATAAGCCACCAGGATATTTATAATGGGAGTCTTGTTCACGTTTCAATACTATTCATTGAAAAAAATATTCGTGATTAAAAAGCTTTGCGGCATGCTACAAATTGATTTATGATACATACGATTGTTTAACTCATTATCAGATGATAATAATCCGTTGGACAAGGTAGCAAAACAAAAGGTAATAGCTAATGCTATAATAAGAAATAACCCGTATGTATTCATCATATACGGTGGGTACTATTTACAATTTAAAGTTTCAGTGAAAGGGGAGAAAACTTTTAAATTTTCGGATGTGGGAATGCTTTGCTTTTATAAATCTATAAAAAAAGAAATTTTTTTTTTTTTTGGATAAATTTCTCGAGATCTCGAACAAGGCTTAGCACCTAGGCTATGTTTTGTATAAAAAAGTGAAAGATTGTTGTATAGAATCAATAATGCAATCGATCATGGATCACTTCCTGGTTGTTTTTCAAGTTTTAAGCATGAAATCATACTAAAAATCTTAATTCTTATCCGTCAATGTGCTTATGTGGCTTCACAATTCTTTTTTTCTTTATCGATTAGAATAATTATGGCATGGATTGATCGCACGAATAATAATGTTTTTAGCATTGGCTGTGTTTGCTTATAAATTGAACGAAATAATCATCAAGTGGCTTAATGTTTATCGATCATTTGTGGGATTAATATTTCCGTATTAGCTTAACGTTGATGATTAAAGGTTGGTATAAATTATTCATGGCTATGGGTGGCTTATAAATGATTACTCATTCCCACCATGCTTTTTCTTCTAAATACGTTAATGTGGCAAAATTTTATAAATAGATTATACTATAGATAAATTTACTAAATATGTACTACCCATATTTTGTAATCAGTTTTTTTTCGCGATTTTTGCTATAAGTTGGTAATCAATGGTCGTGACAAATAATATTCCCATGATATAAACGTAAATAAATAAGGTACCATCTCATGTGATCAAAGTAATAGCTAAGAAGTGTAAATGATTATTTATTTTTTTTTTTTTTGATTGAAAATCGTGTCGAATATTGAAAACAGCGATGCACATATTGTAGATCATTTTTTAACCAAGAAAAAAAAAAAAACTTCCGTTTTATAATGAAACTAATGTGAATTTATTTCATTATTATATTTTCAAATGTAGAGAATATAGGATTTGTATTATACAGTATTTGGTAGCTTTATTTATTAGTAATATTTTAGTAAACTTTTTAGAACCTAAAGCTACTTTGTTTTTACATTCATTTATACTTATGCTCTGACAATTAATGTTTCAATGATTTATAAAAATTACCGGAGAGGTATTACATTTAAAGATGATAAAAGAAGAACCAGTTAAGGAGTCATATGAACCAACAAAGAAACAAGAAGGTGGAAAAGTCCCGGCAGAAGATCTAGCAGTATCACCACACAAAGACGCAAAAGCACCAGATGAAGCATCAATAATGGAGAGGCAGCAAAGGATGGAAAAGTACCAAAGGACATAGTAACAACAAAGGAAGGTAAAGTACCAAAAAGAAGGCAAAGCATCAGAAGAAGGCAAAGTATCCAAGGGATGGCTGACGATCAGGATCAACGGTAAAGTACCAACAAAAGGAAATCACCAGGGTATAATTATCGAGGCATAAAATCATTTAAGTCCCGAAATAATAATAATAATGACATATTCCTGGATCAAATGAATTATCGTTTAAAGAAAAGGAATCACCGGACATATTAAAATAACTACAATTAGTTCGACAAGTAACACACCAAATTAAATTACAGGTTATCCTTTTCTAACAGCAAGAATAACCAAGTCAAAAATTATAAGCAGCAAGAGATAATATTATACTAAATGCATTTTTGATTATTATTTAATGAATGAAAATATTTATTCCCTTCCTTATAATATTTCGTAGATTAAATAAATTAATTTAGTTAGACATTTCATAATTTAAGATTTAATCATAAAATACTTTTACGGGTTGCTTGAATTAAGGTTTAACGTAACGTTTTATTCGATTAATTGATAGAATAAATATTTTTAGAATTTAAATTTTAAAAAATAATTTGTTGGTTTCGGTAACTGCAGGATCCTTTGTGAATGAATGACCATCGTCCATGTTTAAACCAGACAACGAAAACTAATTGTTCAATGTTTTATTTTTTTTATATCTATCGCTATAATTGTCGATTCTAATATATCATTATTAACACTTTGTTCACAAGGGGGAAAAAACAAAATCTACTTTATATATGCTAAGCATCAAAATATTTTTATATAGTACCAAATTACCAAAATTGTCTTATTTTCATTATTTCCAAAAATCGTTCAGGTGAATCCATAAATTTGCCCAAAGCTATAAATTCTGATTAGGAATCATAACGTTGGTAAAACTTTATTAATTTAATAAATCTCATGGTTTTTCCACGGATTCTAGAATTCTAATTTTATCACAATATAGAACAATGGAAGTTACCTGCATTAACCGTGTTCAAAAATCATTGGATGATTGAAGAGTTGATTCTCTAAATTATTGACACGCATACATTATCTCCAAAATTTTTCTCGATAAAAACTTTAGAAACATCTAAAAACTGGTTATTATACTTGCATACTTTGTTTTCTTTCCTAAAAGATAAAAGAAAGAAATTTCTTTGAATTCTTTTTAACATGCACCAAATGATGATCAAGCCAATTTGAGACTAGCCTGTAAAGATAAAATTTTTTAAAACCGGAATCAATCCCGTTTTATTTATGATTTTTGGAAAGAACTAATTACATGCTTTGTTTAATTCGATTCGATTATGTATAATAATCATGATAAATCTTGTTAACCTTAAATAGGAGAAATGTCAAGAGGAAGGCTCGCATGAACCAATCCTTCTTATCAGGTCTTGAACCCGATTCGCGACGAGATGTCATAGCGTAACGGAACACAACGTAAAAAAATTAATTCTCTTTTAGAGACAATAGTCTTTTCCTCTGAACCTATCATTTCAACTTCATTCATTCCTTTCAAATTTGCGTTGTTTTTTTTTTGTAGGCATATCGGTCATATTCGGATGTATAGAACCCAAATTGGTTCAATTCTAATTAAGATTGTTTCCCCCGCAGTATCAAGTATGCAACATGATGTACAAATGAGAGTGACAAAATTTTTGTGATATCAAAGTTGTTTAAATACTAAAAACTTAACCCGAGAAAAATCTCTGTATCACAAATAAACGCCCAACGATTTCTCTCTTGCAATTTATTTTTTTCACATTCAATTATTTTTTCGAAAAAAAAAAAATTTTTTTTTCTAACCAGAGACAACCACTTTTAGTCTTTCGCTCTACACTCTATATCTTATCGAATGTGAAAGTTTACATTCGAATAAATAACTAAAATCAGCAAAAGAAAAAAAGACGAAAAAAAATAATTACCCCTCATTTATTTCTATCCAACCTTCAGCCGAACCAAACTTTAATACACATAAAAACGAAAAACCTTTAAAATTTGTTTATGATCAAATCTATCAAATCTAAACAAATTGTCTCTGGACCTTTTTTTTTATTTTTTTTTGCGATAAACGATAATTCAAAAATTTATAGCTTATTCGCAAAAGTCTTGTTGTGACACATCCATTAACGTTATTTAACTTGATCAAATACCGTTCCGTTACATAAAAACAATCCACGAGCGAACCTTTGATTGTCAAGAATTTACAACGCGAATCGTAATATAAACTTTCGAATTCCGTGCCATCCCTTTCTCATTCATTTTGTATATTCTTATCCCATTATCATTCGTCCTTTCATTACATTATTTTTAAAAAATATTTTTTTGAACATTGAAATAAAAACGAATTCCGACGATTTCAAATTCATCTTACAATTTTCGTGTCACATCAACTTCTTTCCTGGGCGTTTAACTTTTCAGGTTTTTGAAATCGGTAAGTCTTGGTATAACTTTAATTTCTAAATCTTAGGAACCAATCCCATAACTCACGTTATTTTTTTCCCCCCAAATTTCATCGTAAATAGTAAGATGAGTCCCAAACTACCACCCAAAATTCTTGAAATAGTTTTTCGAGAGATTCATGGTTATCGTGGATATTATCCAAACCATCATCTTAATGATTTACATTCCTGTTTATTAGTTAACAAAGAATGGTGCGAAAGTACCGTACCCGTCTTATGGTCATCAGTATTTTATCCAATTCAAACAATTAGAATAGACGCAATTACAACCTATTTATCATGTCTTAGTTCAGAAAAACGACAACTATTACAAAGGCAAGCGGAAGTCAACATACCCTTACCCAAAAAGTATAAGAAACCAAAATTTGAGTATGCGTCATATTTGTTGGAATTAAATTTTGACAAATTCCTTAAAACAATATTTTCATGGTGTAAAAAGTATCGTAAACCTTATCGAATTGCAAGAAGGAATGAACTTATAATTCGAAGTTTATTAGAATTATTCTCTTCACAAGGTGCAAATATAAAATACTTTGCAATGAACAATGTACCAAATTACCTTTTATATGATGATTATTTTAATGATTTGAAGTCGATTGATTTCAATTTTTTGGCTGAATCACATTTAAGGAATTGTTTATCTAGTGTGACCGAATTAAGGTTAGAATGGGATGCTTTAGCGTTAGATGGATTTTTACCTGCTCTTGAACAGACCTGTCGCTCTTTGGTAAGAGAAAAAAAAAAATTCATTCTTATAATATACACATATATATATCTAACCTTTTATTACTTTAATTATAGAAAATAATACATACAGACTTTGCACATAATCCAGCATCTGCCAGTTTATTTATAAACAGACAGCAAGCAAGAGACTTGGCAACCTTAGTGTCAGCACAATCAAATCTACAAAAATTCATTTTACAGAATCATCGATATTACACACATTTCTTTATTGAATCTTTACGCACACAAAAGTGTTCTTTAAAAGAAATAGAATTCCATTCGGTAGATTTTCTTGGATGTTTCCCATTTCAAGCGCTTACAAGTTGTTCTTTTCTTACACATATATCAATTGAAGATTGTCTGAATCTTAATCCAGATATGGTCACGCCTTTATTTTATGCATCATTCCCCGACCTTCAACATGTACATGTATATAATAATGATCCTCCTTGTGAAGAATTAATTGAATGGGCCGATAAAAAAAATTCTAAAAGAGAATGGTGGCAAATTAAACTTACTATTGAAAATATTCGGAGATCTATTCGCTATTTTATTATGTTCGTGATTGCTTATTGGTATTTAATACCTTTTTTGAATTTGATTTTTAGAATAGGTTGGAAATTATCGAATTGGTTATTAGAAACTCTCTAGAAAATATCTCGTTTGATTTTTATGGATTTTATTAATTTGGGAAATAATTGGCGTGGGGAACCACAATCATATAATAAAAAAAGAGTGTCGATTTCAAAAAAAAAACAAAAAAAAAAAAAGAATCTAATAAACGTCATGGCACACATTAAATCGATAAATAGAATCGAAATTTCTTCTTTCCAAAAAAAAGGGTTCATTGCATTTCATACTTTAAATTTTTGTATTGCGTACATACACTAAATTGTGACTTTTTTTTGCCTGGAGATGTTTTGAATATTATTTATTGGAATTACCTTCTTTTTCATTACGCAAAAAGGTTATAAATTTCATGCAACTCACTTTTAAACAAATAACTTTAATAGATTCGGGTATCAAACGATTTGAATCACTAATACATTAATAATGTTAAAAATTGTTCGTTCAGAACTGGTTTTCTAATCGGTAACACAAAAAGATTCGATTGTTCATTACGGATCATATGATTATGGCAATTATTTATAAATTCATTACATGTGAGATTCTTTTTTTTTTTTTGCCCCTTTTTTTTTTTTGCTTTTTTTTTTTTCCTTTTTTTTTTTTAGTTTTTTTTTTTTTTTTTCTTTTTTATTTCTTTTCTTTCTTTTTTTTTTTTTTTTAAAAAAAGAGAAATTCTTAAACTTTTTTAAGCTCATTGACTTTTAATTTGGAAAGAAAAAAAAAATTCAAACCTTTTCTATGCCTCGCATGTCCTTTTTAAAAGAACACAAGAATATTAAAATATGATATATACAAAATCAGATAAAAAGACGCATATAGGCATACGCGTCCTTTTTTTTTTTTTTTTGATAATATAAAAATTATTATTAAAAAAATAAATTCTTAAGTGAATTCATTATTATTTTAATGAATTTAATGAATTCAAAATTCAAATGGTTATTTGATCTTTATGTTTAAAAGATCAAATAACCATTTGATCAACAATATATAGTTGTTGTTTTTTACTGTAATAATTGTAGGAAAAGGTGAACTTTCATTTTATATAATTAAGTTTTTGCATTATTCAAGAAAATTTAAAATTTTTATGTAATTTTCTTTTTTTTTTAAAAAAAAAAAAAAATGTATAGGAGCTTTGTCATCGTTGTCGTGGATCACTCCCTTCCACAATTTAAAGTCCCAAATTTTATGCTTGTTACATTACACCAGCATGAGTAATTTTTCTATAAATTATAAATATGTTTTTGTTTTATTTATATGTTTGTCAGCTTTTTATCAAAATGAGGCTTATTCTTCTAACAAACTTTTAAATAGATTATTAATCTCGTAA